TTGCAGCTGGGACACCATGAAATTTAAAATGAGTGAATGTTGTGTGAGACCACAATTAAATTAAAGCAAACAAATATCCCCCACAGAAATTACACAGAAGGTCCAGGAAATGTTTTTTCCCCAAAGTCACAATGACAAGAAAGTCACAAAGAAAAGAAAGCATAAGAACAGTTAATCTGAGAACTAACAGGAGAACATGGGCTTCCTTGTTATCTATGAATCAGCCATACAATTCTTAGAAATGCCACCAAAGGCGAACAGTGATGAGAATGCTGGAGATGCTGTGAGTTCACTCAGAGTCACTTCAACCTAGTGTTTAGATAGTTGTGGAACAACAGTGCACCAGGGTCAAGCAGGCGGGGCGGGAACAGAGGTAGACTGCTATGTTAATTTAGGTTACCACATTCATTAGTAATATGTGATTTCCTCATTTATCTATTGTTTTCTAGATTATAGTAATTATTTGAAGCAGAATAATATGCATAATTTTATCTAGAGTTTTCTCTAATTCCTTAGTAAATTAGATTCTGGAACGTGAGATTTCCTCTGTTTTCAAGGCACTTAAAATAGTTATGGCTGCATATTTTAATGGACATCATATCACTGCTTTGCAAATTTAAACAACTTAATTCAATGTGTTATGATGTGTAACAGCACACAATATGAGTATTTTCTGTTTCTCTCTCTTTTGTCCCCTTGATTTAACCCATAAATAATTTTTCACATTTCTACAATAAATTCTATGTGTATCAAAGAAGCTGCCCCCTAGTACTGATGCCACTGTGTTAAATTCTGCCTTTCAATAACTTTATCTGAATCACAACTCTACTTGTTGAAGAGTCTTTGATTGGTTTATCTATGACATTGTTGTCCAGACTTCTGTACCTTCTATGTCTCTGGATGCTAACATGTATATGTCATCAAAGCCTAATATCTTTGGTGACAATCTGCAAGTGCCTCTTCACTGCACTTGGTCTTTAATTTTTAATTTACAAAGTAAATGTATGTATATGTGAACATGTTGGTGGGTGCACATATTGGAACCGATGTGTATGAAGGTCAACTGATTGGGTGGGAGGGGTACTGACTTCACCCTCGGCTCCTTGATGAGTGTGGGGAGGAGGTGTGACTATAGCTTGCCAGCATAGTGTCAGAGTACACTTCCAGTTATCACTCAACCCTTTCCTCTGGCTCTTACATTCTTTCCACCCACCTCTTCTGCAAAAGTCCCTGAGCCTTGGAGGGGATGGTAGGTGTGGGATGATCTTTCTCCTATTTGTGGCAAGGCACTGAACTTTCGGGTCTCTGTATTGTCAGTTTTCCATAGGCTGTTAGCCCATTACAGTGGGATTCCATCTTCTATAAAAACACAAACAGCAAGAAGCAAGAACATCTAAACAGTGGCTGCCATAATAACTTAATCTGTGTGTATAAACACAAATGCTTGGACAGTACTTTAGAAGGTACATCATTCCATCTAACAAAACAATTGCAGTGGCGTCCCACTGGAGCCTAAATTCTCCCCTGCCACAGGGGGTTGGTTTGTTCTACAGTATCAGCTGTGTGTTCCACCCTTAGGAGCAGGCATTTTATCCAATCAAAAATTTGCTGGTTGTACATACACTAGACGCTCCACTATTGCATCAGCAGGAACATCTTATTTGGTATGTTGATAGCACAACACATGGGGTCGCTCGTTGTTTTGAATGGAATCTCTCACCAAAACCTGGGGTTTACTCAGGCTTGGCTGGCTAGAAGGCCTCAGAGAGCCACCTGTCTCTGCCTCCCTAGTATTAGGATTATAAGCAGATCCCACCATGCCTGGCTTATCACATAGGTAGTGGGGATGGAATTCAGGGCCCCATGCATGTGTGACAAGCATTTTGCCAACTGTACTTGTGTTTATTCTGCATTCTGGAAAGTTCCCCTTCAGTGAACCCAGACTTCTAGACATCATATACAGATCATATGTTTGCAGTTTTCTCTCTAAGCCATTTGGCCCATCCATGCCCCAGCATGATCTGATCAGTTAGTCCTGGGGACTTGGCTGCTCATGGCTCTTGGAGAACTGAAGAATTCAGACTTGGCTCTGCTTTGCAGCAGGGTTTCTTTTGAAGAATTGTACATAGGTCCATGTGTTTCCATAAGTAAATGACACCAGGCCTGCTACTGCTGTTGCTATGTACTAATGACAATCACAGTTGACAAGTGGTAGCTCATTGTCTAGTTTATTCATACTTAGGTAAGGTCTTCAGTTATATAAAATAGAATGTCTACTTGTTATGAACCTATCATTTGAACCAGTTTTCTGGTCTGTCTATATGGTTCGACCACACTGCCTTCTTTCTGTTTGTCCAACACATTTGTCACATTGCCACCTTGGGATTGTAGTGTTTGCTGTCCCCTCTTAGAATACGCTTGCATATATCTTCAAAGTGGCTGACTTCTACCATTGCTCCATTCCGGGTAAAGTGATTATACAAGAGAAGCTTTCTTTGTCCATGCCACCCCCATGTACTCAACCCATCATTTTCTTACTAGACTATGTTTTAGCACTTATTAGTCACTAAATTTGTTTTTTTCTTTATTACTTATCAGTTGACCTCCTACACACATCCACATATGAACATAAACATCACGACACAGGTAGTAAGGAGCTTGAAGGATAGACCAAAAGTACCCGAATCCAGGAAATTCTCAGTAAATGTCATATGCATGGATGTGCACAGACCCCTGTCTGCCTACTGAAACCCTATTCATTTTTGAAGTCCAAGCAAAACTTTTAAAAAGTCTCCCCGAACAGATTTTGTTCTTTCTCTCCTTTTGTAGCCTTATAAATAGTTTCTTTGCTTATTTTCCTTTAGTTTCTTTTTCTGTGTTTTAGCTGTCATGCCTTCATTCTTAGTCCGAAATGTAGTGGAATTACAGGATATATTTGACTAATTTTAATACACGCTTCAGACTTCAGAACATGACTGATTCTGAGAAGCTATTTGCTGAAGTCAGGAATAAATGAAAATCAATCATGTTCTAAGACTGATGACTATTGTGTTCTTATTTATTGTGAAATATTTAAAGCATACATAAAAGGATGAAAGATATAGTAATATCAACATACCCACCATCAACTTCAGACGTTAACATTGAGGACTTTGACACGAGGTTCCTCACTGGCCGCCCCTCTCATTTCCTTTTCCCTTTTCCTCAGCTGCGGTCATGATCCTGGCATTCATCTCTTTATCCTTGTTGCCGGTGTGTTAGCACCACTATCTCTGTGCATGCACACGTCTGAGTATTCATATACGGTACATAGTATTATTCTGCTTGTTTATAAGTAACATGTGGATCATTTTTTACTTTCTCTGCTCAATATTTTTCTCAGATGGTTGGTGTTGATACCTGCAGGGTTAGATCCCAGTGGTGAGATACCTATTTTGACTGTCTAATACTCTTTTATGTAATACTTTCATAAGTTCTTTGTGCCTTATTTTGATGAAAGGCATATAAGTTTCACCTTTTACTTTTTTTTTCTGTCTTTTTGAAGCAGGGTCTCCCTGTAGCCTCAGCTGTCCTGGAATTCACTACAGAGACCAGGCTGGCCTTGAACTCACAGAGATCCGTCTGCCTCTGCCTCCCGAGTGCTGGGACTACAGGCGTGGGCCACTATGCCTGGCTCCCCTTTTACTTTTTACAAACATTCTCGTACAATTGATTGGTGGCATCTGAACACATTATTTCGGGGTTCATACTGAGATGCTGGATTTCTGAGTCAGACATTATTAGCATTACAACATTATGGTTGAGGACACATGCATAGGAGCCAAGTGGTTAGATTCGAATCCCTACCGGACCCTTGCTCACTCTCCCAGGAACTAGTAAGTGCCAGTTATTTTCAGCTCTTTTGAGTGTGTGTGCCTTACCTCAGCTCTGGGCATCAAACAGTCAGCCTGGCGTTAGTCCTCTTGGCAACAGTGTGTCCTTCTGGGGCTGGTTCCCAGCTGCTGCTGCTGCTGCTGCTCTGCTGCTGCTGCTGGAGCCAGAGCCCAGGAGGCATGTGGCTTCATATGCTATCGCCTCTTTGCATTTTGGTTCCATTTCTGATTTATGAAGAGGTTTATTTTCTGAGCTTGGGGATGTTTTGTAGTTTTCTTTTTTAATGTTTTATTTATCGTTGCTATGAGTCTGGAGCAGAGGGAGTGCATGAAAGCCTGAACTTTCCATGTCACTATAATCAGAAGCTGATAATACCTGGACGACCTTTTAATATAAACACAAATTTTAGAGTCTTCTAACCACAGATTTTTCAAGCTAGAAGGCATTTTAGAGAAAAGGCCAATAACCTTATTTTATAGGTGAGGGAATTGTGGTCCTAAGAAACTAAGTGATTTACTGATGCCACATCTGTAGTTGATGGTGGCAAGTCAAGACGAAAGCCCGTGGGTCCCCTCAAGGCTCCTTTTGCCACTACATCCACTACCATGGTTTTCTCTGTAAGCTAAAATTAAATGTAGTGTTTTATTTTTAACAGAACTTACAAAAAGTGTGATGGAATTCAAGCAATTAGAAAAAAGTGACAGTCCATTTTGAAAACCAATGGAAGATGTTTTCTCCTAGACTTTACTGAGGTGGGAGTGATAGCCACTCTCTCCTGCACTGAGCTTGATACATTTTCATTAGAAGGCAGGCTGCCTCCTACTCTGACTTCCTGCTGCATTTGGTTTCCTTGACTTTCTGAAACTTATTAAGATGGGCCCATCAATAATGGTACAGACACTTCCAGCCACCTAGAGTGCTGGGCCTGTAAATGAACGGTGATGAATGGATGTGACCAGCATCCACAGTCATGGCCCGTATTTCTGGCAGTCTGTTTAATTACAAAAAAAGTAAGGACGGGCAGATGTCCCTTCTTATTAGGGTTTCTTAACTTTTTCTTTAGGTTATAAAATTTAGAATCTGGTGTCTTTGTTAAAGCCTTTGGAAATGTTTTATTCTATTTCTAGATCTTTTAGCTGTGCCTAAGCATCCGTATGCTGCTATGGAGAACTGGGGACTAAGTATTTTTGTGGAACAAAGAATACTGCTGGATCCCAGTGTTTCATCTATTTCTTATTTGCTGGATGTCACCATGGTCATTGTTCATGAAATATGTCACCAGGTATGAGAAAAGGATCAGGTGTAAGTATAATGTGAAACTGTCCAGAATGTGGGGTGCCCTAGCACACCTAGATGAAGAAGTAACTCTTTATGTCCATTTATGTCCACATGAAGCACTGTGCAGTTCTCTGCAAGACATAATGATTTTTCTCAGATGATAATATAAACAAAAATACATAAACTAATGGTATGGAATATGTAGCTGCCACTTGGTTGCTGAAATGTGTGATGGCATGACTGTGCTTTCAGAACTCCTATCCAGTTGCTGCTGGTTATCAGACTCACTCACTGATTTTCTGTCATTATTAGTGTGTGCATATGGTAAGTACCATGATGAAAATGATTTATTGTATTGTTGGAAGATGAAGCTGAGTTTTGTGTATGTGTCAAAATTTGCTTTTGCTGAAATCAATTTCTTATTCCCCTTTCCCCATCACGTAGACACGTGGGAAGTCTTTCACTAACTCACCCATAGACTCTTTGTTCTCAAATGATTGATATTTTTTTCCTTGACATGTTTAGAATTCCTATGTAAATTAGACAACTTTGTAGTGAAGCTGAGATAAAATTAATTTCATGTACTTTCTTACAACTTAGAGAAGCTAGAGTGATATTTTGTAATTCTTATCTGAATCTTGGTTTTAGTGAAAGCAATACCTGTTCTGCTACTAAGAACTATGGGTAGCCATTTAACCCTAAACACCAAACAATCTCAGTGTGATGCAGTATGATTTTAATATACTACAAACCCCAAATCATTTTTTTTTAAATCTAGAAAAACTTATAGACTGATGTGGAAAATGCTGTTAGTGAAATAGGTAAACAGTTAAACACTAATGTATGAATCTGACTTTATTATGCCTGAATACCTTTAGCCTTTTGTAGTGAACCTGTGAGGTCTTTGTAATCCTCATGCTTATCAGCTCAGGCCTGTTTCTGACCTCACGTTATAAAGGATCCATTGTAGATGTAACTGGGGTTCTTCTGTGAAGAGGGGTTTCCACATAAACTTAGAACTGAGGCAAAAGCAGTTTCCTTTGGAATATTTCTGTAAATGACAAATTAGATATCTAGTTCTGTTGAAATGAAAGCACAGTGATAGTTTTGTAATTGTTCTGAATTTCTTGTGTTTCATATTATAAGTTAATTTCCTGTGGTAGCTCAGTGGCAGTAGGCCACTTACTGTGAAGGAATGAAGCTAAAAGAAACACCTATAATAATTTTCACTATGATTGTCATATTTAATTTCTATTTTACCCACCCCCACCTATTTGTTGTCACATTCTAAAGATAGGTTGTCAATTTAAAAGAGAAAGCTATATTTTGGAAAACTATACTATTCAAAATAGAGACCACATGGTCATTAGCATATTCAACACTAACTTTTATTTAATTAGAGGTCCCCTAAACAAAGTGACACTTTATTGTTAATACTGAAACACTCAGGGAGGTCATTGAGCCGTTCCTTTGGTGATTCTTTAAGCTGTGCATGATTTGATACATTTCTGCCTTTTGAGACATTTGCACTCTTCCCTCTACCAGACTGACTGTGTTCTAGCTTCCCAGATCTTGCATTTATTTTTTTTAAAGTATTGAATTTTTGTAATTTTATTTTTTCAAAAGGAGATATTTTAAACATTTTATTTTTGTTTTATGTGTATGAATGTATAGCCTGTATATATGTAAGTGCATCCATGCTGTGCAATGCCACTGGAGGTCAGAAGAGGGTATGATCCCCTGAAACTGGAGCTATAGATGCAGATAGTTGTTAGCTACCATGTGGCCCTGGAAAATGAACCCATGTTTTCTGCAAGAACAACCCATGCTTGTAACTGCTTAGCCATTTCCACAGTCCCAGAATTTTCATGATTTTCATATAATATAACTTGATGGTACTTGGATCCCTTTCCTATCTGCT